GGGCCAGGGCTGTGGAATCTTGATCCATGGTGGTGTGGTGGAGCAGTCAGGGAAGCCTTCCTGGAAGAGGTGATTCAAAAACTGATGCCTTCATGGAGACTAAGAGGGGGGCCTGGGACTCCTCCCAGTGACTGGTGTCTATGGTTTTGTGGATACAGCTGGGGCTCTTGGAATGTTGATAGTGGGAGCTCAGGGATTTCTCATTGGTCCAGGGATGTACTGCTGGGTGCCAGGTGCCTTAGTTTCATTCTGATCATCTTGGGCAGGAAGGAGAAGCAGTGCAGACCTCTCACTGGTTAATCCTCCTGTTAGTAGTATGGGCAGAGACCAGCTCTTTCCTCCTCAGGCCATAGCCCAGCAGGGGGCCCTTTTGATGAATGAATGAATAAATGAACGAAGGAAGGAAGGAATGGAGGGATAAACTGAGACAGTTAAAATAATGCGTGAGGTGCCCCTCCCTCCTCCGCCTGGGCCAGGGATGCCACTGAGCCCATGAGGTCCTTGCACTCCTTCCCCAGTGCTCTTCCCTGGGCCAGAGCTGCAGCTATGCAGGATTGAGGCATGTCCCCAGGGGCAGCTGGACAGTGTTGGACTTTGGAGATCTGCCTCCCATCCCAGGAATTCTGGGCAAAGGATCCCCTATGGCCTTCTGTCTTCCCAAATGCCACTCTATGGCATATCCTCTGGGTGGCAGGCCCTGAGCCCCAAGAGCCGAATGAATTTATGTCCTAGAACGACATGCACATACCTCTTCACAGGCCTTTATTCCAGGAACTGGATTTGGAATTTTTGCCTCAGGAACTGTTAGGGAGCTGGCTTTGCTGAAGGTCAGTGGTCCCTGTGCTGCGGTCCCCGTCCTTGTGTGCACTCACCTTCTGGGTCCTGGGGAGCAGGAGGAGCAGCTGCTGCTTCGCTGAGTCCTGCTGGTGGCAGCGAGGGAGCTGCTGCCTGGGAGGTGGCGACACCTTGGCTGTCCACAGAGCTGCGAGGGACACACAAGGGTGCAGGCCAGTGCTGCCCCACCCCCAAAAGACCTGGGGAGGGTGCAGCTTCCAGAATGGCTCTTAAGGGCCGTTGCCTTCCTATGGGGAGTTCAGAGAGGCCCAGAGGTTCCTTGCCCTGTGCCCCATGGGCAGGGCTGGCTGAATCCCTTCCCAGTTTATCTCTGGTCTCTTTGGGAGAGGGGAAATGGGGAATAGGTGTCTGGTTTCGCCACTGCCCACTCTCAGACATGACACCATGACACTAATCTCAATCTCAAGTGGGCCCCAAAGCTGGATCTTGGGAAGGGGATATTTCTGAGCGCTGACACTGCCAGGTGGAGACCATTACCCCACCTCACAGGTGCAGGAGTGATGGGCTTGCCTTCAGCCCTGGAGGCTGTCAAGACTTCCCAGGAGGACTCTGCTCTGCTCCCTACTCTTCTATCCTGGCGGGGGTGGTGGGGGGTGGGTGGGGGGGTAGGAAGGAGCGAGGGAAGCCAGTTTTCCAACTCCAGACACACCCCATGTGCCCTATGTGGGCAGAAAGCCATGGCTCTCAAATCCTGGCTCTTAGGGGGCTAAGTTTGGGGGCCACCTGCTGGGCCTGCCACACCAGGCCCTTTGAGAACGGGGTACCTTTGTCCAGCCCACCTATCGTGTTGCCCCTCTCTCTTAGGCCACTCCTGGGGCCGGGAGGGCAGAAATAAGAGGGAAACCACTAAGGAAACCGCCAGCTGCTCACACGTCTACACCTACAGCATGGGTTGGGATGCTCAGCTCTGAGCAGCTCCTAACTCCTCTCCACTCTCTCCTCCTTTGGCCCCATCTTCTCAATTGTTCTGTCCCTTCTTCTTTGGCCTGGCCCCCAGCTGTGGTGCTCTCAGTGGCATGCTGGAGCCTGGCCTGTACTGGCTTGTGAAAACAGACCCGGTGAATTCCCAGGAATTTTGCAAGCCACTTACTCAGCACAGCTGTCGTTAAAAATTAACTTATGTAAACCTACAATTAAATAACTTGTATTAAAAACAAAGTTCCTAAGTACTCAAAACTCACTGCTTCCTGATTATCATCTATTACCTACACTTTCAGTTTATTTACACCTGTTGTATCTGCAGTGGTGACACTGGATCATAGGTGCCACTGCATAGCTCTTCCAGCTCTGTGCTTAGTGACCTGTTCAGTGCTGGCACAATGTGTGAAATTGACTGTGCCCAGAGTATTTCTACTGCAGAAATTGGCAAATGCTATCAACCAGGGCTTGGTTTACATTTTCTTCATCATCTAGAATCTTTGTACTTAAAAGAATGATGAAGAAAATGTCTTGGGTGAAGATTATGGTATGCAAATTATATCTCACTTTTTTTTTTTTGAGACAAAGAGTCTCACTTTGTTGCCCTCAGTAGAGTGCTGTAGCATCATAGCTCATAACTCTTGGGCTTAACTAACTCTCTTGCCTAAGCCTCCCAACTAACTGGGATGACAGGTGGCCACCACAACGCTCAGCTATTTTTATTTTATTTATTTATTTATTTATTTTTTGAGACGGAGCCTCAAGCTATCCTCCTGGGTAGAGTGCCATGGCATCACGCTCACAGCAACCTCCAACTCCTGGGCTCAAGTGAGTCTCCT